GAACAGGATGTCAAAGACAGAGAGGCACCTGTAACCTTTGACCTTGTCAACAACAGAATGATGTGTCAGGAAAGAACCATATATATATATATATATATATGCATGTGAATGTAGAACTACAACTAAAAAAAATTGCATTGTTTTAAACTCATTTGGTGCCTTTCTAAGCAAATATTGATATTGATGAATTGTGATTAATTTAACCAATCAGCATATCATGTAATGAATCTGAATACTTAAATCGATTCAAGCACAAATCACTAATTATTAATCATGTTAAATAATTCTGAACTTCATTAACAGGTTAAATGATGGCCAAAATTTAGAATAGTGAGAGTTAAGATCTGGGTCGAAGAACATCTCCAAACTGTAACACTTCTTTAATTGAAATATCAAACATCAGGCAGGGGAATAAATGTTAACGTTTCTAAAAGCTATCACAGATGCTGACAAATAAGCCTCAGTAGGTGTTGACATACTTTGATCCATAATGTCAGGCAGATAGGGTAAATGTGGTTTCTAATTAGCTTTTGGAAGGTGATAAGGAGACATTTGGGATCTATAATGAGAAGCTAGAGATCACAGTTCTACAGACATTTAATGTGAATATACCAGCATGAGTTAAATTAAATGGGTTTCATCCAGTTTCAAACAAGACTGTGGTGTGTAAAGTACACTTTCTCAAACATGTTGCAAATATGACAAACTAAAAATGCAGCCATCTACTTTGAGTGGTTTTCAGAGGGTTGCTATGGGTGTTCTGGGTGGTTTCTTTTACTGGCCCACATCTGATATTCTGGCATCTATTTTCACCTGTTTTGTTATCCATCAGGTAAAAATGGTACATCTGATTGCTAAGACGTGTAACAGGTTACTTCACCTCAACAAGCCGCCTAATTTGAAGCATCATTCATGTCTATAGCATCATGATAAAGGTTGAGCTATATGTCATATTTTAAAAGCAACATGAAGAGTTGCACTGTGTTGTTGAGTGAATCAGGATATTAAAAAATAATGTTGGATAGTACTTGATCCATCTGGAATGAATTGGATAGTGAAAAGTTGTTTCTGGTGACAGGTGACTGAAGAGGCAAATAAGAGGGCTTGGTGACGTCAGTGCAAAAACAAAGTCAAGCATTTTGATGAAAGCCCCTGTGTGTGTGTGTGTGTATCATATGGTCATGGTTTTAACAGCTGAGGATCACAAACATGCTCAAGGAAATCTTGGGACCAGCGCAAACCCTCTTTTAGTGTTAAAAACTATACTGTCAGGATGCAGTGAAAAATATGAAAAGTTGTGGGGACATTTTTGTGACTGAGCTTTTTGCATGGGCATTTGCAAGAGTTCCCCCTTTCAGATGCAAAATTTATGGGAGGAGATTATTTAAATGAACAAAACAATGTGATTTACTAAGGTTTGAGCTAATCTATTTTACTGGTATTTGAGCCATAATTTATCGCACAAAAAAGCATGTCTTAAACCAGACGCTAATTTGAGCTGCTCTTGGTAGATTGTGTTGGGCATTATAGAAATGATCCGGTTGCATCTATGTTCTTTAATTCACGCGTTGTCAGTAGGTCACAGAAATTTCCTCTCATCTGCGCTTTTATGGGATTGTGCTCTCACGCTAATTTGCCCTCTTTAGTAAATCTGGACCTTAATATAGAGCCAATTTCAGAACACACATTGTTTTCATTCATTTCGGTGCGAGTTTGTTGTGTTCGGACTGGTGGTGAGTGATCCTCCGTTGTTTAGTGTATGACGCCCAGTTTTGCTTTGTAATCATTTACCAAGTCAGAAAGTGTATGATGCCTATAGTGTTTTAAAATCTGTTCAGTGTAGTGTATTCCAGCCTTTACCTGTTACCCTCTGCAACACAGCATTACCATAATGGACAAAAAAAAGACTAAAATCAACCCTTTTTAAATAACAAATTCTGGGTAACGTCACACATGTAGTAAGGACAGCATCGCACACAGAGAAAGAGTAGTTGGGGTTTCTAAGCAGAGCGTAACACAGCTCAGCACTGCTTGTTACTTGCCCCCTGACTAGGAAACTTAATTGCTATCAAAGGCATGAGTAATTAAAATCTTAATTATAACACGCTCTTGGGTAGCTGCACAATGTTTCCAGAGAGCCTGAAGTGTGAATATCAGCTGTTATGTACATATGGTTTCCAGTGAAAATGAGGCAGGAGTTGACACTAAATAAAATGTGAAAAAGTGAACTTCCAAAAAAAAATAAAGCTACAAAATGCACGTGAACAGCTTGTGCTAACAAACCTCATCTATCGTCTGCTCAATCTTCATTTCTCCGTGTTCCTGTATAGACCTGTGGGAAACAACAACAGACAGCTTTATCGCAGCCACACAGATACACAAGTACACACAGATTCACACTTGCACAGCAGAGCTTACTGAAGCACACAATACTCTTCCTCAGCTTAGTCTGGACACATGATGAAGATGCTCACAGTCAACAGTACCGCATGCCAGCAGTTGATCTATCCCAAAGCTTGTGTTGTACAGCCCAGCGAGTAGTTCTAATCTCTTTCTGGTTAATACATTGTGCAATGGTCATTCACGCAGGACTTGAGCTACATGGGCTTCGATCAGAATTGATGAACACAACAGAAATTGTCAACCACTAATCACCCACAACATACACATACCCAGAACTTGTAAATGTGATTAATCTGAGTGAAATGGGATATTCAAAATTGATTTGATTAATCTGGAAATTATTTAACTGTGAAAAGTGGGCATTGCATTAAATATCATGGGTTTGATTCCACAGGAATGCATTAACTAATATTTAAAGGGTCCATTTTTTACCACATTTTACCATATGTAAACCTATGGTTACAAACTCTGTCTCCAAGTCCTTATACTCATATTTTGAGTGTGATTCCAAAAAAAACAAAAAACACACACAATTGCAATAGATATTGCTATAATATTGTTACTTTGAATTCTTTTGGGCAAGATAATTGTGTAGTGAAAATATGTTATTGTTACAGCCCTTAGAGCAAACGATAAAAAAGGTCTTCTAATGATGAGCAGCCCATCTGAGCAGAATGACTGATATCTGCTACTTTTTCCACTGATATCTACTAAATTTATTTATTTATATTTATTTTTGCAGTAGACTAAGCTGGCAAATTGTCTGAAACATTTTCTTTTCTACAAAAAGAAATTATAATTACCTCATATTTGCGTAGGTTCCCCAGACAGCTGAAAGAAGAAAGAAGACATCAAAACCAAACCAAATATAAAGAGATATGTTAACAGTTAAAAAACAGTTCATGTCCAATATTCATAGCAGAAAGAACAGGAGGGAGAAAGTGTGTGTTTCTGAAAATGTTTTGAAAAATGCTAAAAAACTGTATTAAGCTGCAGAATGGAGAGGGAAGAGGGGAAAACAGAAAACACAACAACGGCTTCTGAGCCATTCATTTTTATGTTGCTCTCATGGAGTTAAAAGCATCAAAGGTCCACACAAATACATGCTGTAACAGAACATTACACGCATCAAAATGAACAAATATGAAACATGGGTTTTGTAAGCTCACAGAACACTACACAAATACACATATATCCTGTGATAGCTATAATTTAAATGCACAAAAATATGCACAGCTGTTTTGCATTTGTACCCTGCATTGAAAATATATATGTGCTTATGCATTTTTTGAGTGTTATTTTTGCTGTTTATATAGGCAGTTTGATCGGTTATATCAATGAGCTCTAAAGATGCTACGCAGAAACTCTTTCAAAGTGAAAAACAAACACTCACTTGTGATCCATGAACAAGTCTCAATTACATGATCTCACAGTTTAAAGCGTCAGTCATAGGAAAACTACACATACTGGTGGGAATAATAGAGTGGGGGAACTATGACGTCACTTTGTAGGCCAATCGAGTGTCAGCATCACACTGATTCCCTTGACAAAAATCCAATAGGATTTTTCCATAGGCTTCTGAATTATCGTAAAAAAAATAGGCTAAGCTCTGTGTTCAACCATAGTTCATGATACTTATTATCTTCAAGGTAATACAATACCAATAATACTTATTGTCCATCAAGATAATCTTTACAAAATAATATAACTTTTATGAATTTTGAAGCCTAAATACCAGCACCAGAACTAAAAAGCTAAACTTAGGCTATAAATGAACTACACCGCACCGCGGTCACTCGCCTTCAAAGTCACCATCACCATGCTTCCTACAACTTTTTCAAACTTATTTTTAGAAAGCAAATATCAGCATAAACAACAGACCATGATGATTCACACATCGTCTATGAACAGAGAAAAACATAAATTAAGTATAGAAATGGAATTAAGACTACACAAAATATATTTCTCTTAAATAATTAACAAACAAAATAAAAAAAACTGTGCGACAAGTATACGCTACCCTTGTTTTGTGATACTCTTAATGCGTTTTATTTGTTTATATCACTATTTTTTTTAAATCCAACTGATTGCTCAGGTGCCTCTTGCGCGCAAACACACACACACACACACACACAAACATATCAGTTCTAGCGTTGCTAACTTCACATTTCAGTCATTCATCATCAAACTAAAATGCAGTCAACCAAACATAAGTTGCACTGCTCAATTTAAAAGGTCCACTGTAAATTCAGCGTGCAGCGCCCAAACAAACATTTTTGCGCATGTGAAGGATGATGTTTTATGTGGATACTGAAACACGAGTGAAGTACAAATTCATAAATTAAATTTAGCTTGATGTTTATATGTTGTTTATAATGAATGCCACTATAGCCTAATTTGTGTTTTATTTTATAGTTTAAAGGGGTCATATGATGCGATTTCAATTTTTTCTTTCTCTTTGGAGTGTCACAAGCTCTTGGTGCATAAAGAAGCTCTGTAAAGTTGCAAAGACTAAAGTCTCAAATCCAAAGAGATATTCTTTATAAAAGCTAAGAGTCAACCACGCCTACCTAAAACGGCTCGTTCTAACACGCCCCAACATACCTACGTCGCTCTGTGGGAAGATTTGCATAACGCCGCCCAAATGTTCACGCAAAGAAAGAAGGCGTAACTTTTATTCTCGCTGTAGTATTGTTGTTACAGCCACCGCCATGTCATGAAGGCGCTGCGCGTTTC